ATCTTTCAGCCTCCGCGACGAAACGTCCGACAACGGCTGATCGATTTCGATGGTAATATGCAATACTTGGTTCAAGCACAAAAAGATTCTTCAAGCTACGTGGCTGTCTCCGGATCGAAAAACGAGAAACCAAATCGACCATGTTGGGATAGACGGAAGGCATGCTCCTCTGTGCATCAAAAATTGTGCGCCCAAATATGCAAGGAAAGCTTAACCTCGAAAATCTGCAATCACAACAGACAGCCAATGCATTCGCTACTCGACTCTCACACCTGCGCTCAGAGAGCACTCTTCAAAAAGCCGACATATACGACCAGCGGAACCACATTTCCCGCTCATTAAGTACCGCCGCCGAAGAAGTAGTGGGATTTCAGTGAGCCCGAAGGAATAACTGGTACGATGAGCAGTGTCAGGAAGCTGCAGAGAAAAAAGATGACGCCTACAGAGACACGCTGCGATCTGGCCCAACACGCGCTATGTGGGACCGCTATAGGGATCTGTAGAGGGAAGCGAGACGTATTTGCCGCAATAAGAAGAGAGGGGCCGAAATACGTGCGTGCGAAGAGCTAGAAATGCTGGCCGACAGGAAGAATGCCCGAAAATTTTACCAGATAATTAGGCGACTTACGGAAGGTTTCAAGACCAGGCCGTACACCTGTAAGAACAACAATGGCGTACTTAGATTATGGAGGGAAAACTTTCCCATGCTACTGAATGGTAGCAGCACGGAAAGTTGTGGAGAGGAAGAACCCGAGCCACCAGTCGATGATGACGGAGTCGATGGTCCTCCGCCTGACCATGACGAGGTACGAATAGCAATACCGCGGATGAAAAACAAAAAATCTGGTGGAGCTGACAGCCTGTCAGCTGAGCTATCCACGTGCGGTGGCGAGGAGTTGATAAGGTGCATGCATCAACTATTATGCAGAATATGGTCAGATGAACGCTTGCCCGACGACTGGAATTTAAGTGGGCTCTGCCCAATCCACAAGAAAGGCGACCCGCCATTCGCGCCAACTACCGCGGGATCAGCCTTCTAAGCATAGGTTACAAGGTCTTATCGAGGGTTTTGTGTGAAGGACTGAAGCCCACCGTCAATGAACTGACGGCCTTATCAGTATTGATTTAGGTCTGGAAAATCCACCGTAGACCAGGTATTTACAATACGCCAAATCTTGGAAAGGGCCCGCGAGATTTTAAAGCCGCTTTCGACAGCACTAAAAGGAGTTGCCTATACGCCGCTATGTCTGAATTTGGCATCCCCGCTAAACTGATACGGCTGTGTAAAATGACGTTGAGCTATACCACCAGCTCCGTCAGAATTGGGAAAGACCTCTCCGAGCCGTTCGCCAACAAACGGGGCTTCAGACAGGGCGACTCTCTTTCATGTGACTTCTTTAATCTGATGTTGAAGAAGGTAATAAGAACTGCAGAACTGAACCGCTCAGGAACAATTTACTACAAGAGTGTGCAATGGCTGGCTTATGCCGTTGAAATCGATATCATCGGTAACAAAAACCGCGAAGTCTGTTCTGCCTTTTCCAAGTTGGATAACTAAGCAAAGCGAATGCGTCTGGTGGTAAACGAGGACAAAACGTCAGCACATTCGCGCTTTGGCACCCACATCACTTTTAATAGTTATAATTTCGAGAAAGTTGAGAATTTCGTTTACTTGGGAACCAGCATTAACACCGATAATAATGTCAGCATGGAAATCCAACGCAGTATCGCTCTTGCCAACAAGTGCAACTTTGGACTGGCAGGCAATTACTCTCTCGACGTACGAAAACCACACTCTATAAGTCACTCATCATGCCCGTGCTGGTTTATGGCGAAGCATGGACAATGACAACATGCGATGAGGCTGATGTACATAATTCCACTATGTATTCAAAAAGCTAGTTAACAAAAAAATAATAAAAAGTGTACATATAATGTTTACATACATACAGTGGTCGAAAAACTTTTAGTCGCACCAAATTTTTTATTTGAGTTATTTTTTGATTAATATATAGTTAATTCTTTAATAAAAATCGTATTCAAGTTTCAAAATTTGTGCAATATTTAAAAAAAAAATTACCAAACTTTCGCTAAAATTTGAAAAATTTTAATTAAATTTTCTAGAAAGATTTTGGGTATGCAATTTGGTAGCCCACACATTTCTAGTGTAATAAACTAAAAGTTTCAAGTGAATTAGTTTATTCGTTATATGAAAGCAAATACGACAGAATATTCTAAAAAATCAACGGTAATTTGTTGGCAATTTTAATCTTTATTATATGTACTAGAACCAAGACGAATTTATATAAGTTGTTTGTTGTGATTTTGCTAGTGAGTGAGTGAAAGCGTGAGAGTGTTTGTATTTTCTGTCGCCCTTTTTCCTTTGTGGAAGAATTGCTGAAATTTGACAATGGCCCGCTAAAAGAAAAAACAAAATACAACTAATTGTTTATTTGTCGAACCGATTACTGCCTTATATAAATTCGCCTTGACTAGAACAGAACGAGTTGTAGTTTTGGCTTATAATGAATGGAAAATTTTGTATATTGATTGCGATTTGCTATTGTTTAATAGTTATTTAACGAAAAGCAAAAAATCACGGCTGATGGCGGTAAAAATAGAAATGTCAATTGACAATTTGTAAATAGTGCTGCCATTGTTTCTTATTTCTTGCTGACTTGGATATTTAATAACTCAGGTTTGTATAATCAGTACTTTTAGTTGCATTGGGTAACACCTAATTCTTCTTAAAACAACAGTTCCTCCCCCGATTCCCCACGTAAACTGAAATTCCGCACAAAAAACGGTCCATTTCCCGATTCCCCACGCAAACCAAAATTCTCCGCAAATCGGGGAATTCCCCACGAGTTGGCTTCCCTAATTGGGCCCCTTGCCCAATGTGGCACCACCCACACAAACAGATTTGTTCATACTGCATAGCTCTGGAAGTATTTGTGGTAGGGCACTGGAAATTGGTAGGGGGATACAGGAAATCAATATTATACTAATGGAAAAAATGGGGGCATGGCACTCTCATATATACTGAATCTTTTATACTACAACCTGTTAAAAAATTAACTTCAAAACAAGTAAGAAAGTCTAAGTTCGGGCGGAGCCGAACATAAATTACCCGGCGCAAGTATTAAATATATGATTTTCACCTTTCCGAAAGCTACCGCTACATGGTAAGCCGGGGTGTATCAATTTTGAGTAAATTAGCGTCCTTAAATTTCGAAATATTGAAGTTTCAAGCATTTCTGAAATTTACCGTTATATGAAAAGCGGCGTCAATTTCAGTCCGATTTCAATAATCCTCAACGTTTTGCTTTTATGTGGCAAGCACAATAACCATACCGAGCTTGGTACAAATTGGTAGAACGGTTACCGAGATACATACATATATGTGATCATAAGTGGGCGGTGCCACGCCTATTTTCCCAATTTTCATTATAAACGCATTTCTTGGTAAAGAATTGTTGCCAGACAAATTTTGAATAATTTAGCTTTAGTATTTACTGATTTATCGAAGATTTCGTATTTCCCCAAATTACCGTTATATGGGATGTGGGCGTCGTTATTGTCTGATTTTAGAAGTTTTCGGCCATTTGGTATGCTATAGCAAGGCTAACAACTGTGCCAAGTTTGAAAGAAATTGGTGCAGCGGTTACCAAGATATACACATGTAACCATAAGTGGGCGTAGCTACGCCCATTTTCCATAATACAACACAACAAAAAATCACATTTTCCCGCTTTTTATAATCGAAACTGTATGGTGGAAAGTGTGTTCTAATATCTATTTGTTACACAAAAAATGATCACGGCTGTACTTTTTGCTGATATATTGCATACATATGTTCCATTTAGTTAAACAATATAAGAATATTGTAGTATGTACCACAAAAACGTATATTTTCTATAAAAAATCATAACTCAGAAAAAAAAATCTTCGCTATTAGAGATTTGGGTTGATTGTAGTTCAAAGTGTCTCTTTCCCGGTAAAAAAGTTTGAGAGAAAAAAAAATACACTTTTTGAGAAATTAAATTTAAAAAAAATTTGCACTTTTTGTTTATTGTTAAATAAAAAATTTTAAATAATGAAAATCAATAATTATACCATTCTATCTTGAAGTGACAAGAATTACTGACATTTGAGTAAAAACATTGTTGAAATCTATTAAATTTTGACAAAGTTATGGGCATTTAAAAAAAAAATTCTCACTCAATTCGAATAATCGATTTTTGCCTGAAAAACAAAATCGCGTTTAATTCGGCCGAAAAATTTTTCCGAGCCAAAAGAAAAAATACGTGTCTCATTATTTGGACCGACAAACAATGTATTTGAGTTTGGTCGAAATTAAAAAACATGCTCGTACCTGACCGGTTGTCTGGAAATGGAAAGCATCACAGATAATGTAGATCTGAGATCGACAAGGACTTTTCACATTCCATTTACAGTGGTATTCGTAACATTCGTACCAATTTGCAGACTACAAAACGGGATACAAACCCGGCTTATACTACCGCTGGCACTGAGACTGCAGAACTATGATAGGTGTCCTAACAGGACATAACATGTTGGCAGTGCACGCAAGCAAAATGGGGGTCGCAGGAAATGCATGGGTACGGGAATAAAGGAGACCATAAAACACAACCTCTATCTCCATATGGCTTTACCTATTGATCTATGTGGGGCGGTCGGCCAGGCAGAATAACCTAACCTAACCTATGTGTATGTTTATATCTATCTCGATTCCTTTAGGCTGTTACGAACAAAGTTGTAATACTCTTGTGCACAAGAGTGCTCAGAGAAGACATCAAAAGTTCTCTATACTCTTTTTTAGTAGCTTGTGTGTGCAAAATACATTTAGTTTTTCAAAAATTCACAAACATCTTTGTATATACTTAAGTACATAGTATATTAGTAAGTTTTTATGAACTTTGCCAACCTAAAATTAATATTCAATATTGTACGCCATCGTTAAGTTTAAAAATACTTACGTTATGCCCGTCAAACGCCCAACTAGAATCGTCGCTGCCTAACATGGTTCCAGGATGGCAATCCGCCCTAGCCCACCCCACACGCATCGGTCCAGCTGTGAGAACTTCGAACTCAAAGTACCATTTGCCACTAGTTACGGCATAATTTCGTTCAACCCGATAAGTGCGGAATGCAGCGAATTTCAGCCGTTGTGCTTCAGCTAATAAGGCTTCATTACCTTCACCTGTGGGAGGATCCAATACATATCCATAAACTAAGAGCGTCCGCACTGTTTCTGAAGCTGTATCTCGATTTGCTTTTTTAATTGCTTCATCGACTTTTGAGTAGGGAACTAAGTGTGGACTTCTATGGTTTTCGGAGTCTTCATTTAGCCCATAAGTCCAGCCTTGTTGAATGCGCTCACGAGCCCAGAGATTGTGTGTGTTTTCAGCCAACTGATCTACTAATTCCTCCAGTTTAGGAGATAATGTAACTGCACTAAGATCTAGAGGTGCGGGCTTATATCCATTAGCTTGCATAAAGATCTCATTTGGCAAACGAATAGGACGAATCCGGGCAGGAGGTTTATCCATAGTAATATAGTAACCTAAGGCTATAATAGTCCTATAAGGGAGCAAGAAAGAAATGAAAAATATTAGTTCCAAAACAAAAATTTAACTAGTGATATGTTTGATGATCATTTGATAAGGTTTTGTGAATCCCAAAATATTTTTACTTTGGGGAAAAACATATTCGTGGAACGCAGACTTTCAAATACGTATACATATAAAAATAACAGATTGGTGCTTGCACATATGTTAGTGTTTGGCCAAGCTTCTCCTCCGATTTGTGGCGTGTTATCACACAAAGTGGCGGGGCCTACAGTTTTACGCCGACTTCGAACGGTGATTATATATTTATGAGAAACTGTTTTCACTTTTTGTATATCCTGCTATGTAATGTAATGCGCATAAAGTTCTTTAACCAAAGTGTCTCGTTCGGCACTTTAAAGATTAGGTGACAACTTTTTGCATAGAACTTCCTCGAAAACCGTTAGTCCTACGCAAAAAAGGGGCTGAATGCGGGCAATGTCTTAAGCTACTAACTTGGTCAAAACCATTTTTCGCAAAAGTTACCCTTTTACAGTATTTCGATCTAGTATGTTTCCGATCCAAAAAAGGAACCAGCTTTCTCGCTCTTTTTAATTTATTGAATTTATATATTGTCTTTATTACTCTTTATGTAGCCACAGTGTTGTTAAATATAAATTAAAAGTATAGCTAAAAAAGTGTAGAGGCACGGCAATAAGTCAGCTTAACCTTTTCGTCTGTAATGGTGTCATACCGATGTTGGCGGTTGATTGAAATTTAGTCCTAATTTTGCAAAGTAAAAAGTAAAGTGGAAACCCTTAAAAGCTTATGAGGACTATACCCATACACAGAAACAAGTCATTTATTACATCACGATTTAAAATCTTTATTTCAATATCTATATATATATGTAGATGTGAATGTCTGTTTGTTTATTACCTTATAACTGCTGAACCGCGACACCGAATCGCACTAAACTTTGAACACTTATTTGTTTTTACCCCGGGAAGGTTATAGGCATAGAGGAAAATCGGGAGTACTGGAAAAGGGGGCGTGGCACCTCCCATACTAACTAAAATTTTCATGTTGTATATCTCTTAAAATATTTGTGGTAGAGTACTAGAAATTGGTGTCGAGATAAATAAAATTAATTCCATACTTATCGGAAAAAATTGCCGGTATTGGAAAAGGGGGCGTGGCACTTCCCATAGGTGTGAATTATTTAATCAGCTCTAACTTCGGAATTGTAAGTCACATGAACTTGAATTTTGGTATGCAAACATATCTATGGTAGATGCTTATAATAAGGTATATAAAAATGAGTTTGCAAAAGGGGTGTGGCACATAACATAGGCATGGAATTTTTAGTGAGTCATAACTTCGGAACCATAAGTCACATAAACTAGACATTTGGTATGCAGACATATCTATGGTAGGTGCTTACAGTAAGTTAGATATAAATGAGTTTGTAAAAGGGGGTGTAACACTTAACATAGGCGTGGAATTTTGTATCCTTCTGACGTCGGGTGAAACCCGCGGGTAAAAGCATAAAATATATAATGAAGGGAAGTCACCTGATGTATGTAGTCATCAAGGCATATTCAACAAGGTCGAAGTGACAATCCAGACATCCCTTTTTAAATAATGCCAGAAAATGCAAAAAAATATTTTCTAATGTCAAAAAAAATGCCAAATTTTGATTTCAAATTATTATTTCAGCTATTTTCACAGATTCTTGTCACTTTTTTTAGCTTTATGCCTGCATACATAGTTATCACATTTTAAAGAGATCATTTGGTAATTCAAAATCTCCGCAACACTTCGCCAATCACGTGGCCCGCTAGATCGCCAGACCTGAATCCATTAGATTTTTTCTACTGGGGCTGTCTTAAGGACAAAATTTATTCAAAAACAATTCAAAACGAAGAGCATTTGCGGGAACAAATAAATGGAGCTGCTGCTGAGATAGCCCAATTGAGTTTAAGATCTCTAAAAGCGTCTTTTCTTAAAAGGTGCCGAGCTTGTATTAGAGTAGAAGGTCGCCAATTTGAGCATATTTTATCAATAAATGAATAAATTTCTCTTCAAACGACTCATGTATATTTTATTTCACGTGAATCCATGCTTCACAAAAAATATTGATAGATATAGCCCTTGTTATAGACTCTAGTCCGAATTCCGGTAAGTAACACAAAATAATGTCAGGAGCAGGTAATAATGTACCTTTGTACTATTTAGCATGTCATTTGACGGTAACAAGAGCAAATTCAATTTAAATCTATTAAATACATTCTAGCGTGTCTCAGTCCTTTACCCACAAAAGCGGCTATAACTTTTTTTTTTCTATTCAAAACAGTAAGTGTGGCACCTTTCTGAAATCTTTATTAAATGAGCAATTTTTTTATGTAATGTAAAGTTATAGCTCAGTACATTTTTTTTTCACCCGAGATAGTCAAAGTTGGGGAAGAAAATATCAAAAAGTTAAAAATCCAGAAATAGTCCTAATTTTATGATGGTTCCTTAATTTATTTTAACTACATTGCATTTGAGTATGGAGAGGCAACTATCTGGAAGTATTTTACATAAAAAATTTACTAAGTATTGCCCGGTTTGTAGTTGCAGTTAAAGAAAACACATGAAAAGGCACGATTTTTTTTTAAATTCGAAAAAATGTAAATATTTCAAAAACGGTGACACTTTTACCTGAAAATTTTTTGTTTATCAGTGAGCTCACCCCCCCACCTACCTTGCCCTAAAGTTTGGCACGTTACTTCTGGGACACCCTGTATAGAAGTGAGCTCATTGTATTTGCCTGCATTCTATTTCTTAGCTTAGATTTTAACCAATTCATGGCATTAAATACGCGTTCTACTTCCGCATTACTGAAAGGCAATATTAAAAGTTTCATTACAAAAGTACCGATCTCCTGAAAACGCTTTTCATTTAGTACATTTTTATATTCGTAAACAATAGTCATCAATAGAGGAGCTCTACTGTGCCCACGTGTATGAAGCTACTTTTAGCCCCACCTTCTTAAATGATTTTAGATTTATATATTAGCCCTGAAACAGCATCCCTAAAGTAACATCACAAATTTGTATGAAGTCTTTCTGGCGAATTTTACCCCGCAAAATTTTTTACAAAAGTTTCGTTAAATTTTAGTACGATAAAGTGCAAGTTTTAGGAAACTAGGACTTACCGTTACTTTTTGGCAATTTTTTTTTGTCGTCGGTGCTACGCACTTTTTTCATATGTTAGTATGTTCGACAATTTGTTGATCGGGAAGCAAATGAGCAGCACGTTGCACTTGCACTTTATTATACTCAATTTTAATGAGCTACAAAACTGCAACACATTTTTTTTTCTAAGGGTTCTGATTGAAAAGTTTGCAGAATTAATTCTCATAGTTTTTGGGCAAAGTCGGAAATTTTGATATATATGGTTTTTGTTAGGAAAAGAGCTTTACTTAAAAATAATAATAAATATTAAATAAACAAAAGAAAATAGCCGAACCTTGCTAAAATCTAGAATCATAATTTTTATTTTGATTACTGTATATGTTCCTCGATTCGAAGCACAGGCATTCAGATTAGAAAATAATAACTGTTTATGGAGAAAGTTATGATCATGTTCCAACATCATTTAAAACTGGCTCATAGACATGCAATTTTAATGAGATTTGAAGGCGTCGAAATACCGAACCCCGAATACGGGACAAATACAGGACATTAAAAGAAATACAGGACAATTGGCGTCCCGTATAAAATAAATTAGTTGCCAGGACAATTGGTCAAAAAAGAGGACTGTCCCGTATAATGAAGGCGAAAATTCTAAAAAAAAATACTGAAAGCATTTTAACTTGGACCGTTGATAGCTGATGAACATACATGAATATATGTATGTATATAGACATATGTATTTTATTTATTTATTTACAAGAGAAACAATTTTAAATAATTGCTACAATTACATGTAAAGCACTGGCTGCCAGGGCCTTCGGCTTAAATACATCATAAAAGTAGATATACCTTAAATCGATAGTATGCTTATATTTTAGCAATAACTAGGAGTAGATTACTTCATTATTCAGATACTAAGTTTCGAGATACCAACGAATCTAGAAATTAAATTAATGTTAGTGGAGTTAGCAATCTTAAGATGGGTGGAGGGTTTAGAGTCGGCGAATATAGAGGATCGGTTGTGCTGTAGTTCTCGGCAGTCATCAATAAGGTGAGATATTGTTAATTTGTTGAATCCACAGAGAGGGCAAGGTTGTGCGCTTGTTCCAGTAAGAAGATGAGCGTGGGTTGCGCTTGTGTGTACAATTCTGAGGCGAGTAAAGTGTTTGGTGGAACTGCTAGCCACATCGGTAGGGTAGACAGTACGCTCACCGGCAGGGTTAAATATTTTATAATTGTGTTGGAAATTTGCGCATTCCGTAGTCCATTCTTTGTGCTTAGTATTTTTGCAGAGTTTGCATATGTCCTTCTCTGTGACATAATTGAAAAGATGTAGCGGTTCTGTCCCCGCCTCCTTTGCCCTTTTGTCCGCAGCCTCATTCCCAAATATTCCCGCGTGTCCTGGTAGCCACATATTTTTAATAAAGTTATTGTGTAGTAAAAGTATTACACGGATTTTTTCTAACAAGGGAGAGTCGTTTTTAGGTCTTAGTATAGCATCGATTTTAGATCTGCTATCAGTGCATATCACGTGCGTTCCTTTTATACGAGAGGCATATAATACCGCTTCAAGCAGAGCAGCTACTTCGGCTGTGGTGACACCAGATTTGTTTGTCACAGCAAACGTAGTGTTGGTGTTAGTTTTTGATCCATCCGTAAATAAAATATCCCAGCTCTCAAATGGTTTTAAAGATTCGTTAAAAAATCGCTTTATTCCAATGTACTGGTGCAGTTTTTGGGATACTTGTGTAGTTCATTTATAATAGAGAGTTTTGGGATCAAAAATGGTGGATGCGCTGGAGTTTAAACTAGTGTGGGCTTTAATGTTAAATGTAGCTCATTGATTAGGAAAAGG